TTGTTTGTCTTTAAAAGTACTACAGAGGGAAGAGAGAAAGGCAAATCACAGCCCGCAAATGAGCTGTGCTGACTCCCTCCAGATGGCTCATTTTCCCTATCCCCGTCCTATGATCTACAAACCCTGATAAGGCTTCTGTAATCTGGCACCATCGTAAAGTGTTTCTTCTTGAAGTGCTTTAAAGATCCCCACTGCTTACAGAAAATAATCCAAACTCAGACCACATTCGAAGTCCCAAATCTTACTTTTGGGTGTAACAGATTTTTTTTTTTCCTACACTAAGGCTGCTGGATCAGAAATAATCAAAGTCTGATATACTGTACACAAGTAACAAACGCAGGAAATGGGTACAGTGAAGGGCTGCATTGAAGGGAGAAGTCTGAGGAATATAGCCTGTTAATTCACTCTCAAACAGCTTGAAAGAGGTTCAAGTAAAGATAAATGTGTGAACTGTAATAAAAAGAAAAATCGGCAAAAGAAGGCTCTTTCTATTTTAATCATGCCAGAATCAGATCAGTCCTGAGGCCTCAGCTTTTGAGAATTAGGGTGCATCCCTGTGGTAATGACTCAGTACTATGATTCATAAAATTGCAGAAAATGAAGAAGTTCTGGGATGTAGATGGCTCAAAAGCTCTCTGCAGAACCACAAAAAGAATTTAAATGAAGTTCAGTAAGTAAGCAAGCAATGCTTTAAGGAAAAGAAAAGTATTAATGTGTAACAAAATTAGTGGAATTATGAATATATAAAGACTGACTTCAATTTTTGAAGGTCTCTCACCAGACATTAAGAAGAACAGTTAATACAGTCATTGAAATGTTGAAGTATTTGTTTAAACTGATATATGTCACTTGGCTGTAATAGCCAAGCTTTCCAATTACAATTTTGCAACATTTCATGAAAAGTCCTATTTTAAATACTAAATGTTTGCATTAAAAATCAGAACTGTCAAAGGAGGAAAAAGGCAACATAAAAACATTTATCAATGATACATGTGAATAATCTTATAGTAATCTTTAAGTACAAGGGAATCCCCCTCACCTTTCCTGGGCAGCAGCTGGGGTCTCGACTGGATAACAAAATAGAACTGAGGTCTGACAGCCATCCTTGGCAAACTAACTTACTATTGCTCCTGTAAGCTAAAAACTGTCCTCCCTCAACTCAGAAAAATGATTTAGTTATTTTCTGTGATATCACTGAAGATAAAAAGTGGTCAACTTACTAGTAAAATACTGTACTGACATAATTTATCAATCTTCTATTTTAATCAGTGGAATACTTTAAAGTTATATATTCAAAGATATCTATAATTATGCAAGAATAAGGGACACCGAGGAGAGATTAAAAACTAGTCTAGGCCAGGCGTGGTGGCTCACGTCTACAATCCCAGCACTTTGGGTGGCTGAGGTGGACGGATCCCCTGATGTCAGGAGTTCCAGACCAGCCTGGCCAACATGGTGAAACCTCGTCTCTACTGAATATACAAAAAAAGTAGCCAGACGTGGTGGCATGCACCTGCAATCCCAGCTACTCGGGAGGCTGAGGCACGAGAATCGCTTGAACCAGGGAGGCAGTGGTTGCAGTGAGCCAAGATCGTGTTACTGCACTCCAGCCTGGGTGACAGAGCAAGCCTGTCTTTAAAAAACAAACAAACAAGCAAACAAACAAACAAAAAAACTAGCCTCAACAAAATAAATCAACCAGTACCTAGCTAAATAAAACAAGCTCAATCCAAAGTTGGCAGCTTTCCAGAAAAGCATGAGTAAAGTTTTTGGTTTCTATGACAGCAAATAACAAATTACTTATGCTTCATACAAATATCTTTGTTTAAAAAATACTCTTTCTCTTAAAAAACACGTTAATTGCCAGATTGAAATAAAATCACTGCTTAACACACATGGTTAAGTGAATTACTGGTTTCAATACTAAAACGTGAAATCTCATCAATGGGTTTTGTAACATTTCCCAAAACACTGAATATCATCTATGATTATAATTATCTGTGCATTTCTTTTGCATAGTAAGAATTTTATTTTGTTTGTATTTTATTCAGCATAATATCTCCCCCAAAAGGGAAGTCACTTGATCTATAAAGGAAGAGGGGAAGTCATGTTGAGCAAGAGCCATCTGGAATAGGCAGTCTGTGGCTTTGTGAATCTCAGGCTTGCATCCTATAGTCAGTGGTGTGCAAATCAAACACTCACAAATAATACTGATACTCTCTTTTACCATCTTCCTTATCTAAAGTATGCCACATCACAGTAAATATTTCATAATAAAAATGAGAATTTTCTAGACAAAAAAAGAAAATGTTCCTTAAGTTCAAAACAAGCACCAACACTTATGGTACAGAACATAGGAAAACTGGCTATGATTCATGAATATTAATTATTTTAAATAAACACAGTCATCTAATTATGGTAAAATAATAATAAAGAACAAGGTTAATATGAAGATTTATCAGATCTTTTTGTCATAGAAGGTTGGTAACTTTGGCTGAATCAATGACTGTAAAAGGCTCAGAAATGTTTATTATTAGCAGGGTTCTTCAAAATGCTACATCATCTTTGAATTATATTCCAAACATACTGTAGTTCTATTCACGCTTCTGAAACAAGGAATTTTTTTTTTGTCAAGAATTTTATTTTAAACGTCTGATTCCCTTTAAAAACTAAAAACAGGTTTTAAATTTTTTAATTAAAAAATTAAATTTTTTTAAATTTAATTAAATTAACTAAATTAACCCACTACCTGTTAAACATGTGTACTGGAAAAGACTATGATCTTAACATACAATTTTAGATTTTAAAAAGACTACAAAGAGATGAAAAATGCAACCTCCAATTCTAGTGCACTGAATGTCACACAATGAAACTTTCTGAGGAGACAGCAAGCACTAAAAGCCAGGAGTCTAAAAACAGAATAAAGAAAGAAAATGGAATGTGTTTAAAAAAAACTGAGTCACATAAGAGTTACTAAAGAAGGGGACAAATATTGAGAGTAAAAGAATTAATGGTAACTAACACAATGAAGGCATATATTATAAGGTACTTCAATATTTGAATGCTTTTGGAAAATACTTAAAACAGAACTCAAAACCATTACTGCTTAGTGAAACAAATATGTCATGGAAGAAATAGTACATCCTTAGGCAGCTCTCATGATCAAAGCAATGAGCTCCTTCTTTGCTGTTCTCAGGTTGGTTAAGTCTTCCTCAGTCACGCAGCAGTACTAACTGCGTGAGCCTAGACTTGGGAGAGTCTGGCACCTGTGTCCCAGAGAATCAGTCTAATTCCAGGATGGCCCTAAGCCACCACAAGTCTCAAGAATACCAGACGGATAGCTCAGGCATTTTGAAGACTTCACAGCAGGGTTTAGTTCTGTGGTCCTGAAGCCAAATCAGGTATCTGGGCAGATGTGAAAATTTTTAGGGAGGAGAAAACAAAGTGACTTGGAGCCCCAGAATCTTGGCTGCAAGCATATCAGCCATGGGGAACGAAGGCATAGTTTTAAGCAAAGAATGAACACAGAAAAGGAATAATAAAGAGAGCTTAAAGGAAGAAGAGGGGTAAGCAGGCACACAGGATGACACACTGGCCCCAAATACCAGTCATTCACCCAAGAAACAAGGATAGTGATAATTTACTTGAAATGTATGTAGTCCTTGTAGTGAAATGTGTATTATTATGAATCCATTCTGTCATTTTTAGTCTTTTCCAAGAAAGAAATTAAAACTATGCTCTATAACCCCTAGTTAAAATTTATTTTTATAAATCTGGAGGTTCAAATTTAAGTCATGGATGAAGAATAAAACTCCATTTCATGCTCTAATTTCTTTTTAAATACCTCATAGAGAATTTAGGACAAATGCTTATTATTAAAATAAAATACAATAGCATGGGCAAGATGAAAAAATTCCAGCACACATACTGAGGCTGCTTGGTTCATTCCCTTCTTCCATGATGAGTCTTTGGGTCAGGTACAACCCACCTGACTTTCCAGTTGCCATTTTTTCTCCCTCGTGTGACAATATCTTTTTACAAAATGAGCAGACTATCTCTCCTTATTTTTAGTAAGTCCAACTTCTTCACATTCAGGCTTTTTTTTTTTTTTCTATGATTTAAAAACTAAACACTGGACAAGAAATCCAGGCTAAGTTCATCAATAATACCGTGAGCACAAACCTGGCCTCCCTTGTCGTTCAATTTTCCATGTGGACTGGCCTTTTTTTTTTTTTTTTGAGACGGCAGTCTCGCTCAGTCGGCCCAGGCTGGAGTGCAGTGGCGCACTCGGGCTCACTGCATAAGTCTTCTGCCTCCCGGGTTCACGCTGTCTCCTGCCTCTCAGCTCCTGAGTAGCTGGGACTACAGCGCCCGTCACCGCGCCCGGCTAATTTTTTTGTATTTTTAGCAGAGATGGGGTTTCAATCATGTCAGCCAGCTGATGGTCTCACCTCGCTGACGTCGTGATCCACCCGCCTCGGGCCTCCCCAAGGTGCTGGGATTACAGGCGCGAGCCAACGTGGCCCGGCCGTGACTGGCCCTTTTTAATCCCACTACAGAAGTGCAATTGAGCCAGACCTGCCATGGTTAAACGATGTTGAGAGCCGGGTGCAGTGGCTCGATGCCTGTATCCCAGCACTTTGGGAGGCTGAGGGCGGGCAGGGATCACTAAGGTCGGGAGTTCGAGACCAGCCTGACCAACATGGAGAAAGCCCATCTCTACTAAAAATGCAAAAATTGCTGGCGTGGTGGGCGCATGCCGTTAATCCCAGCTACTCAGTCTCCTGTGGCAGGAGAATCACTTGAACCCAGGAGGCAGACGTTGTGGTGAGCTGAGATTGCACCACTGCACTCCAGCTTGGGCAACAAGAGCGAAATTCTGTCTCAAAAAAAAGAATGGTGAGACAGTTGAATATGATGCACCATCTAAATAGGACAATTTTCCTAATGTTTTCACAGGAGAGAGAGAGAATTGGGTATAAAAAGGTAGTCACACTTACAAGTCCACTTATGGCTACAATCCAGATGTAGGAACCAGAGGTGAAAAGCTATAAAAGAAAAAAAAAAGGCAACTAAAAATAAAATTCACTTATTTTTACATAACTACAGTCATGACCATTTATATAAAGTATTAACTATATATGCCATAATACAGAGAAGCAAATGGAAAATTAGTAAATATCAACTGTTATTTAAAAGAAAATTGTATATTAATTTTTTTTATTCAGACATCAGACTTTGTATAGCCTAAAACAAGTTGAACCTGGCCCACACCCCATGCAAAGAAAAATAAGTGAAACCAAAGTATGATGTTATTTATAAACTTCAACTGACTTAAAGTAAAATACTACATATAAAGAAATTATTAGAATTAACAACATACAAAACAGGTAATCACCATCCCATGCTTGGCAATGATGTGATATTTATGTAAATAACTTTCTCATTTTAATTTCTTAACATTGTTACCCTAAATTTAGATGGGAAGAACCCTGCCAGCCTACTGAGGTCTATATTCAACGGTAACTTTCTCAAGTGTTGATATTCTCATTCTAGGTCACCCAAGGAAGAGCAAACTAAATCACAGTAATGAAGTTAATCAATGGCAAAGTAATTAGAATTAGATCTCATGAAATTCTTCCCTTTGTTTTCCAAATAGTTTATATCTTAGAGCTGTGCTCAGGGTAATTAAAAAAAAAATCATAAGGACTCTGAAAATGTTCCTGCAACAAAGAAATGATTTGTGGGTTATTGTTGGTTAATTTTTAGAACTTTAGATTGGGGGTTTACTTCTGAGTGTAGAGGAAAAGGCAGGATACTCAGGCAGGACAGCCCAGGTTCATCGCTGGCATTGCGCTAGATGAAAACCTCAAAGTTCTGCACACTTACCAAAGACACACAGAAAGAAGACAGACACAAAAGGTAAGAGTTGACATACACAGAGAAGCTGGCAAGCTTTGCTCTAGTGATAGGCTCACTTAGAAATGTGCACTGGCTGCGACTTTAAATTTGAACCTTTGATGTAGCACGGACGTTTGTTCAGTGGAAATGACTCTGATAATAATGATGGGAACCATGTAGACAAATATTTTGCTGTAGTTTTCTTCTACAAATAGAAGGAATAACAGACTAGCTAACACTTTCTATGTGTCAGGCATTGCTCTCAAGGCACTTCAGCAAGACCGAGTGGTTAAGCAATTTGCTGCAGGTCAACAGCCAGCAGGTGGTGGGCTGGAGTGTATCCAGGACTGCCTCCACAGTCATGCTCTCCACTCTTCCATGTCTCATATGCAAGTAAAAAGAGCATCTCATTTTGTCATTAAAAAAGTAATTTCCTCTGGGTTCTGAAGCCTCTCATTGCCTGTGTGGTCACCAGTATGTCTGCCTACATCTTGCCAGTGTCTGTGTGTTTTCTCATGGCTGGGCTCCTTGAGGACAGGGGCTACATCTCACTCAGTGGGTGATACTGATTTAAGTATCGGATGGCTTGAGAGCCCATAACATCATAGCCCACTGCACAGGGCATGATGTTATGGGCTCTCAAGTCATCGGATACTTAAATGAGTCTTAAGCATTTTGGCTCTTCCGGTTATGATTCAAGTCTTCATTCATTCATTCATTCATTCACTCATTCAACAATGTCCCTAGTTGTAATGGGGAGAGAAAAAGGCACAGAAACACATGCAAAGACTTGGAGGGGAGGGAGGCAGGCAGAGGATGTACACTTTAGCAATAAGGAGTTCAGTTACACTCCTTCAAGGTGGGCACAAGTGGGAGTTGACACCAGACAGGCAAGAAGAACCCTGCATGCCATTCATGCTAAGGACCTAGATTTTATCAAGGAGCCAATGAGGCATCTCCACGTCTATTTTCTGATCTCAACTTCTCCCTCTCAAAGTTACCGGAAATAATACAAAAATAATGGAAATTTATATTATTTTGAAAAACTATCCATGGTAGTTGCATCTACCTTTCTGCTTTCAGCAGGGCTAAGAGGGATGCCTCATGGTGAGCTGTGTAACACTGCAAAAACTGCACTAGATATTAGGTTGGTGGAAAAGTAATTGTGGATTACTTTTCCACCAACCTACTACAATGGCCCTGTGACAAAGGCCATGCTGTGTCTCTTTATCCAACTAAGATCCCCTTTCCCCGAGAGATTAAACATAATACTTATTTTGCTTTATGCCAAAAACAAAACAAAACAAGAAATACATTCACAATCTCAGAAAAATGAATGGTGGTAGCTACAGAGACATAAATTATTAATTAATAGTAACCAATTGACTTAGCTCTTATTATCTGTTCAGATTACACTAAACACTTCATGCTATCCTTCAAATACCTCTATAAGGTAGATATTATCATCCCCACTTGATAGATGGGGAAATGGGGGTTCAGAAAAGGTAAGTGACAAAGCAAATCATTACCAGACCAAGTCATTAAACCGAAACCCAATGACTTGGCTCCAAAGACTTTCCACAATGCCACACTGAACTCCTACTCCACAATTAATAAAACAGTGTTTTCATTCTCAAAGATTCTACATAGCTTTAGAGTTGGAAGAACTATACAGTCAATGTGAGGCTCAGAGGGGTTCCAAGACTCAACCCAAGTCTCATGGCTGGAGAGAGGCAAGATAGGACTAGAACTTGGGTCTCCTGAGCAAGGTCTGGAGTGCTCTTCAAATTCCACATGGCCTCTGTTATAACAGCTTTAAAAATATTAAATCTGCTATAGCAAATCCTACTCATAAGAATCAACTGCAGAAATGGGCTATTTGGTTACACGGATATCAGGTAGGATCAGGGGGGCGTTTAACAGTACTGGGGTTGAGATGGAGAATAAACAGATTTCATGAGAAACGGTTGTAAAAGTGGTAAGAAAACGCCCCAGATGAGCCATTGATAACACATGACAGCAGACTGGAGAAGTGAGAGGAAATGCTAAAGGTTAAAAGGGGAGGGAGGAAGGTATTCTGAAGCGACTCTAGTATCCGGTTATATGTGCGTGGGATAAGGAATGTTATGAGTATTAATCAGTGGATCAAAAGGCCAAGCGACACATGGTGACACAGGAAGCTGTAGAATAAAACTACATCAAAAGCCGTGAGAGTAAAAGAAAAGTGACAAGTAGTACAGATAGAAAACTGAAAATCATTCTCCTACCACAGACCTGGAGCCCAGCAGGGAGAAACTGACATTCGCTGAGGATTGGCAAAGAAGCTTTTCAAATGTAAGCTGGACAGTAGTACTCTACCAGTCTTCACAGCAAACCATTTAGCAAATGGTGACACTACCATCACAGCTACACAAACAAGGAAATAATGAAGCTGACAATGCTTCTTGAAAACTCCAAAGCTCGGGTTGGTAGAGCACACTCTTCTTCAGAGCTTTATTTGCGACACTGTATTCAATAAATTAATTTTGACACTGATTTTCTACTTTCTACTTTTTGATTGTTCTCATTTGTTTCCACTTCATACTATGATTGTTAAAAAGCACTCACATGCAATTGTACACGAAATGAAAATATTTTCCACAGATACAAATTACAGTGAAAGCTCTTATCAGATTTCTAAAGACTATGAAAGTATTCTAGTACCTTCTATACCTTGATGTTCTTGTTCTGTAACACTTCCTTTAAACATTTGATATAGATCATGAAGCCAAGATTATGGGGGAAAAAAAACCATTGTTTTCAAGGAGATCAAATGAGAGAAAGACCAAAAAAACCGATTTGGTTAAAGAAAAGTGAACATAAAAATGCATACTGTACCTGTAGTCCCAATATATAAATCAATGTCTTGTTTGTGATGGACAACGGGCCCAGAATTTGTGCCACTTGGACTCTTGGTATGGAGCAGTAAAATGGTACAAACAGAGCAAACACAGGTGCCAAGCTATGCAAACAAATAAAAAAAAATCACTATAATAGTGAATTTTAAACACCAATGGCAGATGTATCTTTGAAGTAACACTGCTTATAATTTTATTTCAGTCTGAAAGCATAGTCTTAGATATACACATTGATTTCCAAATATGCATCATGTCCAAAATAATTTGTACAGAACACTTTATGAAAACTCTAAACATTCTATCCTTATTGCCCCTCCTGAAACCACCACAAAGAAGTGGTTCAGCACCTACTAATTGTGAGAAAAGTGGAGGCAATGTTTTCTTCCCAGGTATTACTAAAATCTAATGAGAAACTAGACAAACCAAAAGCAGCAAACATTAGAATTCTTCACAGTCAAATCCAAAAGCCTCATCTCAGGCCCTGTCTAGTGATCTGTCACCATGGCTCTGACACGGTTCACCTCTGGCCCTCCCTTCCTCACATTCCTTCCTCCCTTTGTCTGAAACCCTGTTTCTCAGTGGTTGACCAGCGATTTCTTACACCACTCTTCTGGCTTCTCCATGGTTCCATTATAGCCTTTTCTTCTTGCTCGCTCATCTCCTCATATAATCTCAACCCTTTCTATAGCTTGGGCTAAGAAAATGAAGTGAGACCTAAAACTGCCTGCCCATTTCTGAATGTCAATTTGACACCTTCACCTTGACAGATTCAAAAGTCCTATGTGTCTTTCTACTTACAGTCTTGCTTCTCTCTGATCCATTTCTTAACATTGTTGGCAGTATTCTCTTCCTAAAACACAACTCTGATCACATCACTCCCTTGCTTAAAAACCCTTCCTTCCGGCTGGGTATGAGCGGTGGCTCATGCCTGTAATCCCAGCACTTTGGGAGGCCAAGGCGGGTGGATCACAAGGTCAGGAGATCAAGACCATCCTGGCTAACACAGTATAACCCCATCTCTACTAAAAATGCAAAAAATTAGCCGGGCATGGTGGTGGGCACCTGCAGTCCCAACTACTACTTGGGAGGCTGAGGCAGGAGAATGGCATGAATCCGAGAGGCGGAGCTTGCAATGAGCCAAGATTGCACCACTGCACTCTAGCCTGGGCGACAGAGCGAGACTGTCTCAAAAACAAAAAACAAAAAACAGAAACAAACAAAAAAGACCTTCCTTCCATAGGCTCCAGTATCCAAAGATAAAATGCTTCATAAAGATGTGATGGCAAAGTGCCCCAGTTCGCTCTCATCACTGCAGATTGTTACCACTGTCCTCCTCTCTGCTTCCCCTCATCTGGACCATCACACACAAGGCCCCCTCAAAAATCCACACAGCTGCTCCTTGAATACGCTGGCTGCTTTGACTCTCCACTGATGCAGGTTCTGCTTTCCACTTTCAGTCCTAGGAAACTCAGCTTGTGCAACACTGCTCAGCTCTTCCCACAAGACTTCTCTGACTCCTCCTGGCAGCTGGTGGCTTTCCTCATGGCCCCCAAGCTATGTCAGTTTCACTGCTGCAATGAATCAGTGAATCAAATGCGTGCCGAGGATGTCACGGCAGGACGCCCGGCATAGGAGCTACAACTATGTCCAAGAGAAAGAAGCAGTCCTTGACCTCAAGGAACTCATCACAGGACTGAAATCTTACATTCCTACAAGTGCTGGGCAGGTAATATGAATGAGTAGAGTGGTTTGGGCACAAACTTGCACCCGTTTTTCATTAAACACTTGGCTTAATTACTCAGTCTGTTTTATTTTCCCACTTTTGGGAAAATGGCACCAGAAAAAAAAAAGAATTATTGCATTATCACAAGAAAAATGCAAAAAATATGTTTCACTTCTACAAAGAACTGTCCTTGGTGCCATTTTGTGGAAACACAGGACCCTCCTGGCCTCTTGTGCAATATCTCATCCTTGATAGAGACCATGTTATTCTGAAAAATGCACTGTCCTCTCAATTCTACTATTAAAAACAAAATCAAACCAAAATATAACAAACACAAAACAAATGTGATAAATGGCAGCTGCATCAACAGCTATCAACACAGACGCAGCAAACGCTAGAACAGGGAAAACTCCAGCTGATAAGGCCTCAGCGCAGGCACTGTGTCAGGACTGGAGACACAGAGATGCCAGATACACCTGGCTGGCCATCCAGTGAGAAGGATGGCAGGGACCGGGTGGCAGACGGAGGTGCACATCACAGCGGGCTCCTACCGCCACTTGCCCAGTCTAGAATTCCTCACGTATCAGACCTTCCTCCCAGGCTGAGCACCCCAGGACAGGGAAGAAGAGGCAGTCCTAGTTCTCCTAGCACCTGGCACAATGCTTGACACAGTTTAGGAGCTCACTACATTTAGGGCCACAAAATAATCCTTATTCTAGAACAACTGTTATGACTCACATTTGAATCGACTATACAGAGTTCTCAAAAACCTCAGATTATTAATTCGGAGAGAAAGCATCATATTTTATCTAGCTTTGCCTAATGCAGATTCTTATACACAATCCATATTCAATATTGGTTGGATTTTTTTAAATTAACAAAGCAGTTTTTAAACACTACACAAAATAACTGCTTTTGTCCAATTACAAACCCAAGCACAATTGATTAAAACAGCTGGGCCTTCTTCTCATGGAAAAGTATGAGTTAGTCACTCCTGGGCATAAATCCTCCAATGCCTCCCCACCTACAATCATGAAAAAGACGTTCCAGGCCCTGAGTCTCCATCCCCATCCTGATCCTGTGCTCCGCAGGACAGCAACTTCTCAGAGAAGCCCTCCCTGACTGCCCCATTTCAAACCACACCTCCCACCCTCTCAGCCTTCCCCCTCTGCATTCTCTATTCTCTTCCTGACTTCTTCCCTCACAGCACTTACAGCCTTCTCATCACTGCCAGCTATTGTCTATCTTAAAAGTAGAATGGAAGCTTCACACAGACGGGGATTTTGGTCTGTTTTGTTTGCTGTCTTATCCCCACTGTCTAGAATTGTGCCTGGCATAGAGTAAGGTTTCAATAAATATTTGCAGAAGAAATGAATTTTCCTTTAAAACAGTAAAACCATACAGCAGAACTTGCCTTTTGTTTTAAAAAGCCCCCTTCCTTTTTATCATTTTTAATGGGATTAAAACATATGGTTTCATAGGTAGCTCAAAATATGGTCTGCTCTCTTGGTGATTACAAAACCCTACCTGGGGAGCCAATTGCACCAGAGGTCTCTTACCACAGAACATGCCCTTCGAGTTGCTTAATTCATAGAAGTTCTGTTCACATTTAGTAATAAAGTACAAATAATGATGTTATAACTAAATAATCTAAAGCAGAGTTCTTGTTTGAGGTTACATTTCAATGTAAACTAAAAAAATACTGGTAGAAATTTTAATGACCACTGTTTACATTTCACATACCAATAGAAGTTTAAAAATTCCTTAAAAAATACTAATCACTGTATAATTTTAAACGATGACTAAATACTAGGCCACATATACACATTTCAGACCAAAACTACACAGGCTGTTCTGTAGAAATTTTCCGTTGCTATTTCTATACACACAGACTTCACAAAGTACCATAATGTTATTAGTCATTGACCAGTCTTTTTCTTTTCCTTATTTTATGACAACATCTGTTCTTTATACTGTCAACAGTAATTCAGTTTGACCTTCTTTCATACTGTGAAGAACTACCTTCTGGAAGCCCTTTCTGGCTTAAGCAGATGAGGCTGTAGTACAGAAAAGAGAAAGCAGGTTATAAACATTTCATCCATCCTTTCTTTTTTTCTTTTATTTTCTTAAGACAGGGTATCTGTCTGTCACCCAAGCTGGAGTAGAGCGCAGTGGCACAATCACGGCTCACTGTAGCCTCTAATTCCTAATCTTCTCGCCTCAGCCTCCAGAGTAACTGGGACTACAGGTGTGAGCCACCACACCTAGCTAATTTTTAAACTTTTTTTAGAAACAGGGTCTCGCTGTGTTGCCCACACTGATCTCAGTCTCCTGGCATCAGGCAATCCTCCTGCCTCAGCCTTCTGAACTGCTGGGATTACAGGTGTGAGCCATTGCTAATTCATCCTTTAATATCACTAATACTTACAGAGCATCTACTGCTACATATTCATGATTGCACTCGATAGAAAACATAAAATAAAATAACACAGACGCCTGTTCAGGTTGCAAATGTCCATTTCACTTCTTCTACAGAAAAGGTCACTGGATGTAGTGGCTCACACCTGTAATCCTAGCACTTTGGGAAGCCAAGGCAGGCAGATGGCTTGAGCTCAGGAGAGTTTGAGACCAGCCTAGGCAACATAATGAGACCTTGTTTCCACAATAAATAAATAAATAAATAAATAAATGAATAAATAAACAAACAAACAAAAATTAGCTGGATGTGGTGGCATGTACCTATAGCCCCAGCTACTTAGGAGGCTGAGGTGGGAGGGTCACTTGAGCCCAGGAGGCAGAGGTTGCAGTAAGCCAAGATTGTGCCACTGCACTCCAGCCTGGTCAACAGGGTGAGACCCTGTCTCAGACAGACAAACAAACAAAAAAACAAAAAACTGTAAAGATCAACTCTACTTTTACAGTACAATCGCAACTCAAGAAACCCTGGTAACTTTCAACAGCAATAAAACAAGGTTTGTGAGCTTATGAAATGATCTAATATACAGCTTCAGTGGCCTCTTACAGGATAATGACTCCATCACCTCTTCATCTGTCTGACTACTCTGATATCAAAAAAAAGGGGGCTGGGCACGGTGGCTCATGCCTGTAATGCCAGCACTTTGGGAGGCCAAGGCAGGTGGATCATGAGTTCAAGAGATGGAGACCATCCTGGCCAACATGGTGAAACCCTGTCTCTACTAAAAATACAAAAATTAGCTAGGCATGGTGGCGCATGCCTGTAGTCCCAACTACTCAGCAGGCTGAGGCAGAAGAATCGCTTGAACCCCGGAGGTGGAGGCTGTAGTGAGCCGAGATCACGCCACTGCACTCCAGCCTGGAGAGAGTGACACTCCATCTAAAAAATAAAAATAAAAAATAAAA